CCCAGGATGAAGGCTGCTTAGTAATTTTCCCTTTTACCTGCACAGCCTCCATGGGAGTCCCCTGACAGATGCAGGCTTGGCCCTCCTCAACCCTGCTCTCTCCATCCACCCCTCGCTGGTGGCTCTGGATCTAGGAGACTGCATGCTGGGTGATGAAGGCATCAACCTTATCTGTGGGCTCCTGCCGCCTGACGGGGCCAAGTCCGGTAAGCACCAGGGGTTGCGGGCTGCACAGTGACCAGTGGAGCAGATTTATGCAGCAATAAATCCTCAGCCCTGGAGGAAGCAGGCTCTGTAGTTTGTCTGAGGAATTTCTTTCCCGACTTAAGTAAAGCAGAAAAACCAAGCAATAGAGGAGCAGCAGTTCCCTCAGGCATGTGCTTTCTGCTATTGATCTGTCCTGCTGGTGGTTTGGAGCTCAAGGACCAACAGGTTGCTTCTGTTTCATGACAGGAGCATTTGAAACAGGAGGAGGGGACAGCTTGGACTTTGAATTTATTATTTTGCATTTGCATGTTGATAGTGACCGTAGATTAATATATGGTGTACTCCTACCTCAGCACTTGGCTTTATTGTCAGTGCCTGGGAACTGTCCCTGCTTGCAGGTGTAGTCTGTGAGTGTGTAGTTGCATGGTCATAGCATTAGTTCCAAGACTTAGATCTTTGCAGGGGGGTGATCTTTGGTGGTCAGAAGCCAGTGGGCCAGTTAAGCTGAGAGCTGGCATGTGCTGAAGTAACACCACCCCTCGCTCCTGACCCTCAAGGTGCTTTCCACCTCTCCCCATCACCTTCTCCTCTCTGTGCTCACAGTACCACTGATGCTGTTCTCTCTACTGTCCACCCTTCCCAGGTGCAGGCTTCAGAGCTTGCTGTCCCTGTTATGCTCTTTCCAACCTGTCACCTTATGCCACCTCCTTCTGGTCAATCACCCTACACACCCCTTACTTGTTTCCTTTGTGTTTGCTATTTAGGGTAAGGAGGACACAGGTTGGGAGAGCCGAGAAATGGGGCAGTCACAGCATGGGTAAATGAAGGGCTACTGCTGAAGGCAGTGAAATATTTCACTGATCAGTGAAATATGTGATGACAGTTGCCAGAGAACACCAAACCCTTTAGACTGTCCGAGTACAGGGGACACAACTTAAGGCTGTTCTGGTTAGCTGAACTAGTTCCCCTGAGACTGCTTTAGTGACCCTAAAGCTCTGGTTTGGCTTCTCTCTCTTCTCCAGGCCTCAAAGAGCTAACGCTGAGCGCCAACCCAGGAATCACAAGCAAAGGCTGGGGACGCCTGGCTATTGCCGTGGCTCACAGCTCACAGCTCCGCGTGCTAAACCTGGACTACAACCCCCTAGGTAAGCTGGGGGGGGCAGGGAGGAAGAGCAGGAGACACTACACTCCTGCCTCAGCATTTGTGCGATTTGTGCTGGTGGGTGGCTGGGGACTGAGCTCTCGGAGGGCAGCAGAGCATCACCAGCAGAATGGGGTGGCCTCTTGCATAGGTCCCTTCTGGTCCCTGGCAGAGAGTTCACCCTGCCAGGTGCCCTTGGCTGTGGGGAAAGCCAGCCTTGCTGCTCTGCTTGTGTGAGGTGGCCACGTGCCCTGCAGGGGGGTGCAGAAAGGAGGTTGCTCCTTGCCCACTCCACGTTTGACCCTCCAAGTCTCCACTGTTCCTGAAGCCCTGGGTGCTGATGCTAGCTTGGCAGATGCAGCATGTCCCCGTGCTCCCCCTTCATCTTCCCAGCAGAGCAGGGAGGAGGAGGAGAGCCTGGCACTCGTTGCCATAGAAACCAACTCACCAGTTCTGCTGCAAGGTGGTGAAGAGGAGACCGGGACATGCCTCCTTGAGCATCAGCAGGGCGCTCCCCTCCTCACTCTGTCTGGAAACAGGGCCTGCAGTCTGTCTGACCAGGTACCCCCTCTTGGGCAGGAATGGCCCCGGGGTGTTACCTGACAGCAGCCTGGGTTTTTTTTCCTAAGAGAAGGTGTCACAGTTGTATGGTATATTGGCACTCACCAGGGAATGTCAGGAGAACATGCTAGAGTCTTGTCTCTTCACGAGCATCAATCTTTAATGCTCTTAGTCCTGCTGCATCCATCCCAAAATTCTGCCTCCTTTCCAGGGAGGCTGTCAGTCAGCTGCTGCTGAGTCCTCTTGTCCAGCTCCAGCCTCCCTCTAGACTGAGGTATTCAGCATCTGACTGATGCTTTAACAGGGACTGTTAAAGGCTCTTGCATCCTTGAATAGAAAGAAGATTTGGGAAGATATCATTTCTTGAGGAATAAAAACAGTTACATTGTGTTCCTTCATGTTCCTCCTGATAATAAGTGACTGCTCCTTTAACCACAAAATGGTGCACCTTTACCTTGTCTCTTTCATCAGTTAACAGCTTCCCGCCCTGCCCTGTCCAAGGTAACTGAGATTCAGAGGTTGTCTGGTGGCAGAAATACTCAGAGGATGTTTCCATGACAGCCCCAGGCCCATGAGGGCATGTGGTATTACATGAGGGAAGGCAGGCACTGCTGACAGCCCTGGTTTGCTTCTCCCACAGGTGACCAGGTAGCAGGGATGCTTGCTGTTGCTGTGGCCTCCAGTCGAACCCTTGAAGTTCTGGACTTGGAGGGAACGGGACTTACCAACCACTCAGCCCAGGTATGAGAGCCTACAGTTACTCTACAGCACCCCTGACATCTCAAGGGCATCTATAGAAGCCCTAGAACCAGGTATAACCTGACTTCATCCCCCTCCCTGAGTCCACATGCACCCCCTTCCCTCCCTGCGCCCAGGGGTGCTGTTGCTTTCCCCTGGCCTGTTGCGTTCAGCCACAGGATGAGCATGTAAGCCACAGCTCTGACCTAGGGCTCCTGGATCTCCTGCAAGTCAGCAGGGAAAAACACATCACTTTATTAGTAGGTTGGTTTTCTTAGAAGAAGTAAGGGGTTAGACTTGTGATTGAGGATGAGAGCTAAAGCTCTGTGGACAGATAGGGGCCAAGGCTTGGTAGCACAGGCTGTCCTCTCAGAGCCCCATCTCCCAGTAGTAAGAAGGGACTAGCCTGGATACATGGCAGCAACAGGCTGTAGAACAGTCCCTTCTTTAGATAGAGCCAGGAAATCCAGGCTCAGCTCTGCCCACAGGAAAATGGGGAGTCAGGCACTCAGAAAGCCTGGCGAAGGGAGGCCAAGGCCAAGGGAAGGTAGAGGTAGGAAGAAGAGGGCTGGAGTTTGCAGGGAGACAGAATTTAAGCTCTTTCTGCTCAGCCGAGCTGCTGTTTGTGCTGCTCATCAGGCTATTTCTCTTGCACTCCACCCAGACCTTGCTGGACATGGTAGAGAATTACCCCACAGCCCTACGGACACTCATCCTGGCAGAGAACAACATTAGTCCCGAGCTGCAGCAGCAGATCTCTGACCTGCTCTCAGAGGGTGAGGAAGAAGAGGAGCCGGAGGCTCATGAAGTCACAGCCAGAGAGAAGAACCCCTGGATCTGCCAGAACAGTAAGAGCTCTGGGACCTGGGCTGCGGGCAGTGGTTGACAGGCAGGAATTGGGGTGTCTGGGGTGTTTCCAGCACCACTGGTCTCTTGTGGGGTTGGTGAATGGGGACTGTCCTTTCTCCCTGTGAACTGGAATCCAGACAGCCTCCAGGCACAACCTTCACCCGGAATAACGTTGGGCTGAGCCCTGCTTGGAAATGCAGCCTCCAAGGACAATGCGGCTGCTGCAGAGAGTGGAAAAGGTACCTCAGAGGCGTTTTCCCTGACGCTGCAGGAACAAAATCTTTGTGCAAAGTCTTAAAACTCAAGGGCAGGAGCATTAAGGATCTCAGGGGCCTTTGCCAGGTATCCTAGCCAAAACTCGTGTCATTCCTCACTGCTTCCAGAAGCTCCCCGCAATCCACACAGCACCAGCTATTCCCACCTCTGCGTCCCAAACGTGACGCGTTAGCCAGGTGTCACAGCTTGTCCGTTCCTTGTAACGGAAAAAAAGGTATATTATGGAGATAGCTGTAGCCCACTGTGTATTGTTTGTATAAATGATATTGTATATTGTCATGCTTACCTTGTGATCCTGCTGGTTTGAGGTTTTTTATTTTACCTTTAGCTGTCCTCTTCCGCTTCCAATTCTTATATCAGATTAGCAGCAGACAAGGACAACCACTCCCTGGATCTCAAAACATCTGGATAGTCATTTATTAGAGCCATAAAAATCCTTTACTGACAGCTCTGGACAAGTTTTAGATCCAGTTTCAGATATTGATCCCCAAAACAGTGATCCCATGCAGCAGTTTTGAATGCATAGGACTCCGGACCTGAAGCACACAGGCATTAAAGATCTCCTCCCTCACATCCAGATTTATTTTTTTTTTCTGTTTAAAAAGGCTTCTGGATGGGGAACTGGTACCCTGCTGACTTTCTTACTTGCTATGCGTGCCCATCCTCCTTACAGCTGATTCACTTGGCGTGGGGAAGAGTCGCAGCGTTCCTGGCTGGTGCTCAGTGCCGATGCAGAGCCAGCAAGCTGTCCTCACCTTCCTAGGGCAGGCAGGGGAGGGCTGCTCAAACCCTCCATTCATGCAGCACAGAAAGTCAGGATTTCCAGGCCTCTGCTGCCATAAAATGGCTGCCTGCCCACTGCGTTCCCTGCTCTTGGGAAGGCAACACCACCACCACCCTACGTGGGCTTGGTTGGCTTACAGCCGGCCTGCCCGTGCCACCTGGGCTGAAATGACACTTGGTGAATGCAGATTTAAAGGTCTGCGCAGGGCTGGGTAAGGACACAGCTGGGTCAGCACAACCACTACGTGTATGTTCAGAGCTGACGTTCTTCCTCTCAACAGCCAAGGTAAAAAATGCAGATCCCCCACCCTGGGCTCTTGCTGCTGTCTCTGCCTTCCCCCCCCTTCCCAAACATCGATTCTGTTCTGCTGCACGGCCAGAGCAGACCTAGTTACTAATCTTGCAGTCCTCAGCAGTTCACTTTCCACCCTGCAGTGCTCTAATTCCTCATCCTCACCTCTGGATCTGGAGCACAGCTCTCTGCTCTCCGGCTGCCCAAACAGCTCATGGTTTTCTCCCTCTCTCACCACAGATTCCAGCTCCCAGATGGTCCTGATGACGTCAGGTCTTGGTGACAGCCTCTTAGCAGAAACAGAAATGTAGCTGGGCTACCCTGCCTGCTTCTGCCGAGAAGAACACCGTGCCCGCTGGTGGAGCATGCGTCCACCAGCCCCCCTGCCTCAGGTGGGCTGCCCCAGCCATCTTCTCACACATTTCACGTCCTGTCGATGCCTCCCTCGGCTCGCCAAGTGCTGGAGCCTGGTCTGAGCAAATCTCTACACACGTCTCTGTGTTGTCACACGCCCCGTCGGCTGCTTGTGATTGTGCAGTTGCTGCATGTGTAGCTCACGCTGCCCTGTCTCTCCCCCCGTGCCCAGCTGTGCCTGCAGGGCACAGGCTGTATTTATTCAGATGTGTATAAAAGATGTTCTTTCTATTGCTTGTACTGCTGTCACGATGAGAGTTTTATAAAGGTCACAGACGTGGCACTACTTATGGCAGCGTGAGTCTCTGTCACTCCGTGCGCCCGATGGGGCAGAGGCCAATAGGTGCCGACAGCTGCCTGCTGCCAGGAGCCATGCTGAGGGCTTGGAGCTCGGGTTTTCTCCCACCTTGCTGAGGTGGATGCTCCAAATTGGTCATAGCCCCATTTGCTGTGCCCAAGGCCTTCGCTCTACCCAGGAGGAGCCCACCTGCAGGGAGCTTGGCAGCAGCTCTGGACCCTCTGGTGAAGGCTTCAACCTGTACCAGCACTGCAGGTTTCACTGCTCAGCCAAGTGCCCCTTGCTGGAGCCAGGCAAAGAAGATCATGTTGCAAGGCTCGGATTAGGCTGGAAGATTAAATTGTGGCAGCAGCTGCTACTCAAGGGAACACAGAATATAATCATTAATTATGGGGACAAAGAAACAAGAAACTCTTCTTGTGTTACGTTTTGCATACACCTAGGTCAGAAGGGCACAGGCAGCATAGTTTGGGAGACAGCAGGCAATTTCATCACAGCCCTCTGACCGCTGTAGCACCATTCAACATGAAAAGGAAACACTTCCAAAATGTCTGTATCAGCATCCTACAGGACCTCCCTCATGTTTAGAGGGCTTCCTGTCTGCGGTATGTCTCATCAACCCCAATCCTCCCTCCTCAAAACACAAAATAAAAACACAAAATACTGACACTAGAATTATAAAACTCTTACAAACTCCAGGAAGGGGGGATGTTACATGTTCCCACATAACGCAGTTTCTGAAATGGAGAACTGACACTCTTATGTGACTGAGAGCTAGGGCTTCAAGAAAAACCAAAAAATATTAAAAGAATTAGCTTTACCTAATCCTACTCTAGATCAGCACGTGGCAGTCTTTGCCAAGACAGAAGGACAGCAAGCAAAATACTTGAAATGGGGTAGGCAGAATTTTATGAGTAACACTGAGGCTGCTTACTGCACAACAAGCTTCACTGCAGAGGTTTTGACAAGCCCAGCCTTTACAGCCTTTCAGTAATGTGAAAATTGCCCACATTGGTTTTTAATGTTTCTCAAAGTTGCCCGGTTAAATAATCTACCCTTTTCTCACGCCACTGTGAGCTTCTGAGTCAAAAGTGACACGCATGCTGCTGTGAACAATGGATTCTGGTCTGCAGGCTCAGTCTGATCTTGGAGATGACAGTCTACATTCAGACCCAGAGAACAGTTTCCAGAGCTTGAATACCAGATACAATTGCAGAAGTAAAACAGTGCTCATCCCAGACATCACTCCTTGCCTGGGACTGCACCTCTTCTCCAACACAGATGATTTGCACAAACACCTTGAACCAGGCTGCTGCTAAAGTGGGCACTCAGGATGACCAGTGAATTCACAGCCTCTGGGAAAGCTTACAGGTCACAGGAGTGCTCTCCCTGGGAGAGCACACGCATGTCAGCAAATTTGGGACACTGTACCACAAGAGGCTCTGCTCTCTGACATGCTCGGGATGGGTCTGGTCGAGGTCTTATCCAACAGAGAGAACACGATAGCCATTGCCACCTACTTTTAAAATAGTTTTATTTCTGATCTTAAAATATACATCAGTTTGAAAATTTCAGAAAAAAACCCCACATTAGTTACAGATTAACAGTCTGGAGTTGGGACACTGAAAGTGGGGTCAGCTCAAGGCCCCAGAGCCAATACTGCTGGAGGTGAGCAGGACTGCAGAGGGCAGGCACCATGCCTGCTGGGAGAGGGCTCTGCCCCTCTTTGAGGCCACCACTCTGCCTCAACCTCTGCCAGCAACCTAATGCTGTGAAGCAGAAGTGTCTGGCGAGGCGCTGGGCACCCCTTTGCCACCCCTCCATTTCTCTACTGTTTTGCTTTTAAGCCTAACTTGACCAAAAGCACAGGTACGCTGGCTCTGCCCAGCGCCATCAGCACCAGCTGCTTCAGCAAGAGTGGGTTTTGTCCCCTGACCAGCACGCCAGGATTCAGGGCAGATGGGCTGAGCTCTGAGGGGCAATGCCTCCCTCACTGCCCAAGTGGTTGTGCTGTCTATCCCACAGGCAGGCCACCAGCAGCCTCAAAGCTAGAGGAGCTCACTCAGTGAGCATCCAACCCCAGGTGATGTCCATGAGGCAGGAGCTGGCAGCCACTGCAGGTGCAAGCCCTCAGCAATGCTGCAGAAGAACAGAAGAAATGCAGCAGTGGAGCGGCTGATGACAGCAAACGCAAGGACCCCACCACCACCATGTTCAGGACAGGGGAGATGAACACCCTGCAGACTCAGAGGAGGCTCCTGCTCTTAGCACCAGCCTGTTTGCACAGGTAGCAAGGGAAATACTGTAGTGAAATACTGCATCCACCTTCCTGCCAGAGGGTGGCATCCAGCTCCACAACTGCTCGAGGTGGGAAACAAGGCGAAGCTGTAGGCTGCAGCTCTAGCCAGGGCACACAAACCAACCTACATAGCTGACAGAGAGGCCTGCAGCCCCCTTTCACAGGCCCTGGAGCCTCCAGCTGCAAGCCCTTTGCAGAGATAGGGGTTTGGGGAGGGGAGCAGGGCCCCCAGGCAGCTCTTGGCTGCACATCTTGCTGTAAGCATATGAATGAGAGCTCCCTCCTGGACAGAGGGCTGCTCTCCTACAGCCCAGTGAAGAGTCCTCATTGAGTAGGGTGGGAGGATGACACAAATTCAACTCAAAAACCAGACAGTAGGCTGAGGACAACCAGGGGGGCTTGAGGGGAGCACGGTGCAGGGAACCAGGCTATTCGCTGCCTCGCACCCCTGGGGGAGCCAAGAAACACCAGACAGATGAGGGCACAGGACAAAATTAAAACAGGATGCCTGGGCTTTTTGTAAGCCCTCAAAAAAATACCTACATCTACAGACCTCTCCCCTTCCCTCCCCCCCCAATAAGACACCGAGCACACAAGACAGAGAAGAAAAGTCACACAATATCACGCTACACTAGGAAAAACACGCAGAGAGGCCCTGCCCAGAAGGGGAGGCCCCAGAGAGGCACCAGAGCCAGTCTGGAGCCCCCAGAGAAGGGGACGTGCGAGGAGACCCTGGCAAAGGGCTGCAGCCGAGCCATGAGGTAGTGCGTCTACAGGGAGCAGCAGCTCCTCAGCACGCTGCCCTCGCATCCCTGCCGGCCCTGCACCAAGCCCTGCCCAGAAAAGCCCAGTAGCGTCCTTCACGCCTTGCTTGCCTGGGGCGAAACCTTGTTCTGGAGTCTGGAGGGGTTTCTGCAGGCTGGAGGCCAGGATCAGAGGGAAGCACAGCTCTGAGAGCTAACCCTCCTCAACACACCCTCAACGCAGGCATCAGAGTGTTCTGCCAACGGCTGTGTCTGTTTATGCAGGGCGGGGAGAAAGAAAAAACAATACACCCCAAAACCAAACGTTTAGGAAGAAGAAAGAAGCCCACCCAAGAGCAAAGCATCAGCCCCGTTCAAACAAAACAACAGCACAGAGAGCGGGGGAAGAGATGTGAGGGAGGAGACACACAAACACAAACCCCAGCACCTCCCCGAACCACCTTGGCAGACAGCACCCGTGCCCCACGCCACAGCACCAGCACCCATGCGTTGCCTCAGCGGGGGCCGGGTGCTGAGCCTGACACAGAAGCCCAGCAATGGGAACCTGCAGAGGCAAATTCTGGAGAACCACCCAGAGGGCAGCTGGGGAAAACAAAACCCAGCAGGAAAATGAGACACCAGCAATCCCAGCACATCCCCAGGGGCACACAGCCATCTGCTGAGAGAGTCCTCGTGCCCCGCTCACAGCCCCTGGGGGCTCCCAGGGAATCAGACACCACCACACAGGCACTCCGCCCTGTTGGCACAAGTTGAAAGAGAGCAGAGCAGCCGCGGGCAGCCAGCATGAGAGCATCCAGGGCCTCAGGTACCTGAGTGGGAACGGGGAAGGGAGATGCGAGCATAAAGAGGCACAGGCACCAGGACGAGGGGTACCAAGAACCAGCTCCGGTACAGGCACCAGTGTGAGGCTGTGAAGAGAGCTGCGAGTGTGCCAGGGCAGTGAGCACGCTTCTGCACGCTGTGTGTGCTAGTACTGTGGGTCTGAGGGGCCAGGGAACAGGGACCCCGGCTCCTCCAGGTAGCAAAAGAAGAGAATAAATATAAAATTTCAGAGCAGAACCACCCCCCAGGAGGAGGGTACTAAGGAAGGTTCTCCCTCAGAAGGTAGGTAGATGGAGGCATCCCACAGCTCTGCAGCGTGTGGCTGCTTCTTGCCCTGCCTCAGCTGAGAAGGTTGCCCTGCTCCTGGGCTTGTGTCAGACTGTCTTTGCGATGTAGGTGGTGGACACCCATCCTCTTGGGGCTGCGGTGCGGCCGACTGAAGGGAGGCTTGACCCTGCCTTCTCCACTTTCCTCTTGGGCACCTCCTTGGTTGCTTTCCTTGCTTTCCTGGAGCAACATTTCTCTCTCCTCAGCTGGGCTCTCAGGCAAGCCGAGGTCCACATAGTCCTTATGCTTCTCTGGTGAGGGGCTTTCAGGCTCAGCGGTGCCTCCACCACTTTCTTGCAAGAGCTTCTGGGCTTCATCCTGGGAGAAATCTGTACCATAGTCCGAGGAGAAATGGCTCCTGCGGGCTCTGGACTCAGTGCTGTCTGTGTCCACACTCGAGTCCCGGCTCACGGTCCAGCTGCAGCTCTGTGCAGACTCCTCACCATCCGAGTAAGCCAAGGCTGCCCTACCCAGCTCCTGCATGGAGCGGCTGAACCTCTTCTGGAGCTCGGGGGCTGTGTCACGGCTGAAAGCCGTGCGGTTCATCAGCACTCGCTCCGAGGTCGGAGGTGCCTTGTCCACAAACATACGCTGCCAGTTGGCCAGAAGGTCTTCCTCAGAGCTGGCAGAGCTGGCAAAGGCGCTCGGGATTTGGGGAGGGCTGCTGAATGGGCTGCTCTGGGAAGAGCCGTGAGCCCTGGCTGCTTTGGGGGACTGCTGACAGGAACAGCTGGAGGCCGAACGGCGCCCTTCCGAAGCAGGGCTGTTGGGAAGCGTCCGGTGCCTGTCACAGCTCTCATCTTCACTCTGTACCAGGCTGAGGGAGATGGCCTGGCGCGTAGCATACGTACAGTTGGGCAAGGGGCTGTTCTTTGGGATCCTTACCTTGTCCTCAGAGAACTCAATCACTTTGCGCCCAGGGTACATAGGATGGGGAGGTGAGGGTGTAGGGTACGGGCTTAGCTTCTCAAAGGCTGGCACCTCCTCTGGCACGCTTTCCTCACTGCTCTGTGGCTTGCAGCCACCATTCTGCTGTTTCCCTGCATCTCCTACCTCCTTCCCCATCTGCCCTCCACTGTTGCAGGCATCAGGAGGGGCTCCACTCATGTCCACATGCACAAACACATCCTCAGCCATGGGACAGTTGCCACTGCTAGACTTGGCTGAATTCAGAACCAGAGATTCTGGTTTCTCCAAGACTCTGGCAATGACTGAGGTGGGCACAACATCAGATGGAGCCAAGGTGTGGGCTGCTTCTTGACCAGGGCCTGCAGACTCCTGAGTGCTGTGCAAATGCTTATTTACCATGTCCTGCAGCTCATAGGGAAGCTAGAGAGAAAGAAAAGGAGATGAGAAGGGGGCTGCCACGCAAGCCGTTTAGATCCAAATAATCTGCATTTTCCAACCAACCTGCATGTGTACTTTGTACTCCTTATCTTGACCCTAACATTCACTTACCTTGCCTTGAGAAAAGTATCTCTTTCCAAAGCAAACCTGCCCTGTGAGAGGCTAACAAGGCTCTCTAGCTGTCACACCAGTCATGTTTCTAGGCCATGGTTCACAGGCCGCATTTTGCAAAGAGAACAAGAAAAAACAGCGCACAGGCTCAGTCCCCCATGCCTGTGAGCACAGAGACAAGGCCCAGCCAGTGCATGCTAGGAAGGGGTCTATTGATCTATGGAAAATCAGCTGGTGGTTGCCCTGAAGTGACTCGACAGCCTCCAGTGCTGGGATACACAGTGCTCCCCAAATGCAGTAATTGCGGCCATGCTGCCCTGGCAGCCTGCCCGCAGACCAGAATCAATGCCTTCCCTGTTCCCACCAACTCCACCACCTCAGCCCGCTTCCTCACTCTCTCCACTTCAAAGAGGTAAACATGGGGTTTATTACCAAAGCTGCAGGACTGGGGTCTCAACAGAAGGTAACTACTGCTCCTTGGGGAGCCTTGCAAATGGGCACTACTACTACCCCATCACCCTGCCAAGCTGCCCTCCCCTTGGTCACCACACCCATGCACAGCATGAAGCGGAGAGCAGAGCTCCACAAGCCACTCAGTGGCACAGCGGGGTCTGTCCCATCACAGTCAGAAGGGGACTGTGACCAAAGCTGGGGACGTAGAGCACACTGTATGACAACAGCTGGCTGCACAGCTGCTCAGCACCAACCCCCCTCCAGTGGCAGCCACATGGGACATGGTGCTCTGGAAGGCAGAATTCAAAGCTCCAGGGAGGGGAGACAGCTGGGAGAGAGGTCAAGGTTACTCCAGCAGTAACCGATACACTGACCTCAAGAGTGCTAATTTGAGACACAATGGGGGAGGGTGACATATTGGTCACCTGCTAAAGTTAAAAAAGACAAGCACATGGTTTTGCTGAGAGGAACATAAGAAGGGATGAAGACTAGGGGTACAGCAAAGAGAGAGCTGGGGTAGGGGCCTAAACGATACTTCCAACCAAAGAAGCGATGCTACTAACGTGAAAAGCCTAAACTCCATCTTTGCTCATCCTGCAGGCAGGATGCGCTGAACAGACCCCACAAGGGGGAGTATGAGTTGGTACCAACTTCTGTTCAGGAGGCCTAAAAGACACCCTAAATGCTGCCTCCCACATTTCTCCTCAGAGTAAGTGAAAGAGGGCTAGACTGCTGCTGCTTGACACCTTATCGGGGAGCATGGCCCTTCCATGTGACCAGGTGAGGAAGGGAAGAGGACAGAGCAGGATAAGACAGAGGTCTGTCCTCCTGCCAGCTCCCATCAGGCACCCAGCAGCTATCAAATTCAAGGTTATTGTGCTTTTTATAACAGCTCCTGGCTGAGCTGTGAAATGGAGCTGGCGTGAAAGAGGAGCTGGCAGAGGCTCTGTGCTGCCTTCTCGGTGGGAGTGGGAACAGGAGCCCCCCCACGCCTCTATCTGAGGTTGAAGGATGAGAGGCCAACAGCCCTTACAGACAAAGCTGGAGAAAGCAAGATGCAGGCAGAGACCATGAGCCCTTCCTCCCCACCTCAGCAGGACTGCTACTCACATCAGCAAACTTGTGGTTCCTGAAGTGGGACTTGTTACACTTGAGCAGCTGTACAGCGAGGTTACAGTCCTGTCGATAGCGTTCCTGAAAGGAAAGGCACAGGTGGGCAACAGTGTCAGACTGGCCCGATCTCTTACCCAAGGAGGTGCCACCTGACCAGATGCTGCTTGAACAGGAGGAGGAGGAAGCATCTGATGAATCACTTGTGAGAGCAGCTGCCATCCCCTCCTCTCCACAACCCTGTGTACTTTCTTACAACTCAGCCAAGGTGCCCCTTTCCACTCCAGTCCTTGCTCCAGACATACACTCTGTCAGTGTATCAACCCCCTCTCCCTCTGGGGACTTTGTTCATCTCCGAAAGTCCCAGCAGATTCACTATCCCATCCCAGAGCACTCAGCCATGCCTGAAGACACTGCCTGATGTCAGGCATCTTGCAGACAGACAGACTGGAAAGAGTTGAGATCAGTTAATAGAAACAAGCACTGGATCCAGGAACTGCTACATTAATGGTGTATAAAAGGCACCAGGTCCCTCCCAACTCTATAGTAAATGACCCCTCCATTGTATAGCCTGGAGTCAGGTCAAAATCTAAGCTCAAAAGAGCAAATATACTGAAGATCAGTTCTTCCTTGCTCGACCCCTCAGACCCTTTTCTGTTTGTCTGTCCCCACTGTCATGCACAGCTCCCACACTTTCATACACACTGAAGTCATTCACATGCCCCTTTACACTAATGACTTTGAATAAGAGGAAAAGCGCACATCTCACACGCTTCCAGTATGAGCCATTTGCAGACTGACACTTACATTGAGTTCCTCCAGCTTATTGATGGTGGTTTTGGCATCAAGCAATTTATTAGTGAGCTCTACAATTTCCCAGTCCAGCGTCTTGCGGTCCATCTCTGCCTTTTTAATCTGGGATGCAAGAACACCAAGTGAAAATCCCCCCAGAAGAACCTGGCTTGACCACCCACCTCAGCCCAAGCATAGCACAATGACACATTCAGCTGGGATACAAAAAATTCCAGACAGACAGACAAGGGGGACAGCCTGGCTCTTTACCAGGGAAGGGACTCCAAGGCCAAATGGAGCCAGCCACTCTGCTAGTCACAGAGACAACAGGTTGAGTTTGAACCTCCTGAAATCAGTATGTCTTCTTGCAACACAATCATGTTTCCTCTCTGCCCTAGTTACACAGTGCCTGGTGGAAAGCTAGTGATTTTGAGCAATCAATCCCATCCTGCCACTGTCAGCAAAGACCTCTGAGCTTGTGATACCCAGCCCTCTTCTCTGGGGCAACAGAATGTGAATACTGCTCATAAAGATCCAGTAGTCAATGCTGAATGGACAAAAGGGTTTTTTTGCAGGGAGAGGACACCATCTTGAAAGAGTTTAAGCCTCGCTCTAGTAAGGAAAAAGGACCTGTATAGCTTCATCTGGAGTTCAGTCAATGCCCTCCCTAAAGCAGGCAGTCTTGCCTCTTCAGATGTCCTAATGGTTCAAGTACAGGGCCAATAGACACCCAGAAGTAACAGCAGAGAGAGGTAACAGCTCAGAACAAGTAAGCCATCCCCTTCTCAAGAAGTTCTTCCAACACTGCCCAAGGGTGCTCTGAGGCTGCGACCCACCCCCTGTGTGTCAGGGGTAGAGCACAGCAACACGTAAGGGGGTAGGGGAGGACAATACTTCCCACATATGCAGTCTCTTCAGGCACCAACACAATGAATATGAACCCAAGAAATTCAAGTTCTAGAACCAAAGAAATCTCATCCTGGGCTACACAGAGGCAATCAGCATCCCAGCTGTTCGACTTGCCTGCTCACAACCCAGCAGAGGAAGGAATGGGAGCAAAGGAGGCTCACAGCCATCCACACCTTGTGCAGTGCCACAGCTTATGGGCACCACTTCCCAACACGCCATGCTCCAGCTGGCTCAGAGTCAAATGCTCTTAAGATGGAGCACTGCAAGCTAGGACCTGCTGCATCTGCGGGCAGCTGCTGGATACCAGGTGAGCCCTTGGCTGGACGAGGGCTGGGGCCCCTCCATCTGGGACGGGGTATGTGGGACAATGAAACCAACAGGCTGAGACACGTAAAGAGGAAAAAGAAAAAACACACAAACGAAAAGACGCAACTGCAAAAATCCAGCTTTGGCTGAGAGAGGCCTGAGAGGTGAGTGCGCCCAGCGTGTGCCAGCGGCAGCATGAGGAGGAGAAAGAGAGAAAGAGAGAGGGGGAGGGAGAGAAAAGAAACAGCCATGAGTGTTATGAATGCACACAACAAGACATACACACACATTGGCTCTGCTCTGACTGCCCCTGTCCCCCCAGGATCACCACCCCAAGACTGGTTGACACACCCCCGGCATTTTGAGAGGGACTGAAGCAACATGGCGGAATACCATGCAGTTATGTTGTGGGGAACCAAAGCTCACATGCATGACCAAGTAGGGCCTCAGTAAATCAAGAAAACAGTTCATGACACCAGCCAGAAAGGGGAGTAGATGGTCATAGCCAGAATCTCACCCCTCACCCACTGCCACATCTGCTGGGTAAAGCTAGGGCCCCTTCCCTCATCTGCTCTTAACACACGGGTTTCTACCACCTCCTTTCTCCGGTGACTCAATAAGGCACTTACCAGGGTATGCAGCTTCTCCTCCAGGTCTTGGTTGGTTCTCTGAGAAGCAGTGTAGCTGTTCTGCAACCTACAGAAACAAGATTGTATATACGGGAACAGTTCTCAGACACCTAACTCTGGTCCCTTCACAGGTGCCAAGCAAATGACCAACTCCACAATTCCAGAAAGACTGGACAGGCATATTAACTATGCCTCACTTCTGTCGTACAATGGCCTTCAGACCTCAAGTTACTGGAGGTAAGATGAGGTTGGCTGCATGAAAGGATCTTGCAGGGGAAGGTGTGAATGACTTTGGAGGACTCTTCTCTTCTGTATGTCATGCATAAGCCTGTGACCAGTGACCGGCAATGATTTTTAACTGAGGTATGTCTCAGGTAAAGTGGTGATGTATTTTCTTGCAGCCATCAGTGGCTCCCTTTGCACTTGTGGGGTAACCATCCAAGCTGGATCCTGCCTTACGTCTAACAGATGAAGAATTCCCTGTTGTTGTCGTCAATCCCTCGCACTGGCAGCATTCCTACACTGTACCCCAGAGGAAGTATCATCTGCAGAGCCTCTAACTCCCCTAGAGTCTCAGGGTGCACCTTTCTGAGGATGCAGCATGCCTTTGATTTACACAACAGGGCACGCCAGCTGAGGGAGTCCTTGGTGGGAGGGATGTCTCTAACTCTACCCCTCATTTTCTTTTTCATACCTACGGAATTTGTCCTTGAATTTCTCCAGCTCCTCACGGTTCTGGCCCAGCTCCATCTCCAAGTAGTCCTGGCCTGACTCCAGCTCCCTCTCCATTGCCTCCATTTTGTTAGTCACATATGTCAGCCGTCGGCGCAGCTCCTCATTCTCATGCTGCAGTAGCCTGGGGCACACAGGAACAAGGTACACTGAGTGCACAAGGGGTACCCCACACCAGCACCCCCACCCCACTGCCCTGCTTTAGGGCCTGAGACCCCACACAGGGGCTCCAGGAAGTCAGGAACAGAACTGGCAGGAGACTCTAGCACACACAGCGAGAGGTGCATCTCTCTCAGGAGAGGGAGACTCAAACTCTCTCGGAGTGTCACTGAAATCAGGAATAAACTTCTGATTTCGGTGACAGGAGCAGGGGCAAAGAGGCACATGCCAACTGGCCAGTCGTGGCTCCCAGCTCCCTCTTGGGTTACAGTGCTTGTATAAAGCCCATTAGCCAGATAAGCTGCGCAGCTCCAGTGTCCCTCTCTCGTGAATGAAACCCACACAACAATTTAGCCCAGTCCAAGTTAGAAGAGTTGAAGGAGGAAAGAGTAAAATAATCTTCTCCTCCCCTGAAACTGTTCAAAAGCCCTCACACCTTTAATACCTGATGGAAAGAGGATTCCATACAGCCTTAAGCCCAGAAGCAGAGGTGGTGGGGCGCATTCACAGATGTGACCACAGCTTCCAGTCAACCCCATACCAACACAAATTGCTCCACTCCTCTGCAGCCAGGACATGCCTGGTGGTCAGAAAGATTTCCTGTTGTTTTTCATTCCTTTGTGCTCAGTTGCTTGGAGAAACCCAGAAGTGCAGCTTCTCCCTGGCAGTGCAAGCTTTCTCCTCACTACAGCTTGGAGTTCTGTGCTAGCAGCTGTCTGTGCCCCACACCACCAACAGCAAAGGGCTCAGCTCTCACCCTCAGTGAGCACCAAGCCTCTGCATACTGCTTCTGGTGGCTTACACCAAAACAATATCAACAACAAGAAGGGTTAAAAAAGGCACTCCTCTCTCCACCAGTATTAAAGGCTTCATCTCCTACTTTCTTTCACACCCACCAACTCCTCTGCCTGCACCTGCACAGGGGGTCTATGTGCCCTTCCCCTCCAGGGGGAGAGACAAGGAAGGCAGAGGTTGGCAAGGCACAGACTAAATCTCTGCCCACACGGCCCCAGAAAGATTGAAGATCTGAGAGGAGCCCACAGGGCCAGTCAGTTTTGCTGTGCAGGTGGCACAGGCAGGATGGGAGGAATCAGCACCCACACAGTTACAGTATGACAGGCATAAAGGGGGAACAAGACACTTACTTCATCCTTTCTGCATCCGTCAGGGGTTCCTGCACAGGGAAGAAAACAGCTGTGAGATTCTTTCAGAGGAGGAGCTGGGGTCTCACACTGTCCTAAAGGGCAGAGTCTTGGTTGCTAGACCCTGCCTGTGACTCTTCCTCATCTGCTCTTGACAGGTCATGCTAGGCAAACTTAGAGCTGCTAGGATCTGTATACATCACTCAGCTGTCTGATACCAAGACAGGCTGTGTGTTCTGGTTCAGGGTAGAAGAGCTACACTAGAAACCACCACACAACTTAGGTAACATTACTCTCCCACAGTTGCAATCTCAGCATCTCTTGTAACATCGTCACCTTAGCTGGTGTTTCAGCTTCCTCTACATGCACAGTTAGTGGGCAGCAAAAATCTCACAGGCCAGCATACACTGAGGATTAAATTGTCACCACAGAAATCACAACAGCCTTGAAGCCCCACAAAAAGAATCATTTGGGAGCTGAAAAATGTGTCCGTCCAGATTGTGGATAGACACATCCACACCACCCAGATTGTGCTGTGAAAAGTTTCTTTCTGCAGACCTGAAAGCTGCCACCAAAACTATTCTGGGATAGCAGAAAAAACACCAAAGGTCAGAAAAGCCTGTGAAAGAAATTAATGTTCTGGGCAAGATCCCCAGAGATGCCTGGAGCAGGGACCTGCAGAACAAGGAGATGAAGCAAAGTGACAAGAGCACATGGCTCAGCTATTCTCATTTCCTTTGCATTCTTTGTGTTAACCCGTGAGATGGCTGCTGCCTGCCAGCATGGCTGGGAGAGATTTACTTAGCACTAGAAGCAACCATATTTTATGTGAAAGCCCAAGACCGTGACTATTCTCACAAGGTCCAAGCTGCCCATGGATTATTTTTGGTGCTTGGTACCAACAGCATTGCACAAACCCAAAGTGCTGCCACACTTTAGATTGCTCATTAAGTGTCACAGCAGCTCTACCCTGTAAGGCCATGCCACAGACAATCATAGATGAGGTTGTTGAGCTGCTAGCAATATGGGGCTGCTTCCTTCATCAATTTACACTTTAAAAAGAATGGTCCTTACCACCTGCATACACCCTCCTGTCCCCAAAGGCGAAGCATCAATCCGTTCTGTTCTTACATCCTGACCCCACATGGTAACCAGTTAATTCACATAGAATTATCTAGCAACTGCCTCCCCTACCCCCAAAAATACACACAGGTAAGAAGCTAGTGACTAGGTAAAGGGGATAATGTGATTCCTATTAAAATGAGGCAATGGCCTCAAAGCAGGCTGGAGATGAGAGGAGAAGGCTTACAAAGACCTGGAACAGCCATCATACAAAGATCCAGTACCCCAAGACAGCCAGGCACAGGGCACATACAAAGCACCGGCAACATCCCAACACCTCCTGACAAGAGAGCTGCCTGCCTCCTGCCCTGCAGCCTGCAGGGCCTCCAACCTGCAAACACCTGGGAAGTGTGCAGTGGAGAGAACAGCACTAGCTCCTGCCTTCCTAACTCCTGGGGCCCAAGGGAAGCTTGTTCCTTCCAGGAAAATAAACTCAACCTGGAGCACAGCCATGAGCAGCACCCACAAGAGAGTAGCTTCTGGTGATTAAGCACCCACAATGTGAGGTCTGAGGGCCTGCTCTCACTCTCCCCTGTGGCATTACAGACTAGATGAGATCCAGGTGGGGGCCTTGGCCTTTGTGAGACCCCTGCCTTTGAGCAGGTGGCCCTGGCACCTACCTTGTTTAGTGCCAGGCTGAAGGAAGGGGAGGATCTAGATGGGGTAGGCCCCTCCTCCCGACTCCAGAGTGTTGGAGTTGAAAAGGATCCTTTCTCTGGGTAGTTCGGCTCCACTGCGTGCTTCTGCCCAAGTTTAGCACACAGATGGTGTGGCTGTAATAGCCGTGAACAGGCACTGCTTTCATCACTTCTGCCCTCTGCACTGCTCTTCCATGAAGACAGCGAGTGCTGCAGCCCAGAGGATGTCCCTGCCAGCTCCAGGTCTGCCAGCTGCTGCAGCTCATACTGACAGAGATCTACTACCCTTCTCTCCAAGGAAAGCAGTTTTTCCTTACTGTCCTTCCTTCCAAGAACAGGTTTCTTTCCTAGTCTGGAAGCTCTTTCAGCCTTCTCAGCACACTTTCTCTGGCACAAAGCCATTCCTAGCCCCTTTTCTGCTTTTCTTCTGCTTTGGCAGGAGGATCTTTCAGTTGCATGCTTGGTTTTGACCCTTTGCTGCAGGTGACCTTCCCCTTGGCCTTCTGGCATGGAGCTTCTGGGGCAAAGAGGAGAGTTCTGGTCTTGTGCTGCTCCCCTGGTTTCTCCCTGTGAGCGCAAGCGGATGGGACTCAGCACCCGCTGGGTAATCTCATCCAGGAACTTGGAGAATTGCAGTTTTTCCTCTGTGATCTTCTCCCTGCGCTTGACAGAGTCAGCAGCACTGTGGTTGCTGTGCTCCAGTGAGCGCTTCTCCCTGCGGCTGAGGCAGAGCTGAGGATCACTGTACTTGCGCGAGCCACGGCCGCAGGAAAGCGTCTCTACCGAGTGGGACTTGTGTAAACTCTCAGGGCATGGGCCTGTCATGTTGGTCTGCTTCAGGATCCCTTTGAGAGGCAGGTGTGTAGAGGAGACCCGAAACTTCCTTGTTGTCAGGACTTCAGGAGGCTCTTTAAACATAAGCGAGCGCTCCAGGCTTCTGCTCTTGAAAGAGCGAGTGGGATGGTGTCTTTCATCTCCAGACATCACAACTGTCTCCATGCTACGGCTCACAAATTTGCTGAGGTGCCTAGGACTGTGATTTGGGCACCGCTTCCCACTTCGCTGCCCCATCTTCCCACCACATGGAAGTGCTGGTGAGACAGTCTGGCTCTTGATGTTGAACTCTGCTCTGCGCCCTGTCACTTCCTTCTCACTGCTGGACTCCAAGGACCATGATGAGGAGAAGTTCAAGTTGCAAACCTCAAACTCCTCTGCCTGCTTGAGCTGGCCTGCCTCAGTAAAACTAAACCCCGTTTGCTCGTGCAACGGTGTTAAGCCCTTTGCCACCCGGCAAGCTGTTACCTGACTCTGCTCGGCCAAGATCACTCCATCCTGGTCGTCACGAATGATGGGTACCTCATGGCGGATCTCGCGGTGCTGTGGAGGCGCCTTGCGGTAAGGCTTCTTTGATGGAGCTGTGCTCGACATCCTCCCACCTGCGCAGCTCCGAAAGCAGGTTACCTACCAACAGCAGAAAGTGCACAGAAGAGAGAGTCACAGGTGCTCCATGGAACCCAAGAAGTGACCCAGCAGGAA